ACAAGGAGGGGAACAAGCTCTGCTTTCCCCTATATGAACGCTCTTAATTTGAAAGCAGCTTTCGACCAGTTTTTACTTTTTTGTTCAACAACCAACAATTGATGAGGAAAACAGTGATCGAGACACAAAGAAGTAAATCGTTGACCAGCATTTATCATTAATGCATAAGAATAAATATATCCCGTCAAGGGTGACATAAATACTCCATCGAGGAGAAAAAGCAAGGAATCTATCACTATTGACTTATATTCTTCTCTTCTTTATCATTCGTTTCGTAGAAGTGTTGGAACCCGTCCACCATAACGTTGTTAGACCACTTGGGAAGGTAAACGTGGCCTGGTTACACGGAGTTGAGGTCAGAACAGTGACTTCAAGAAAGCTTGCCGCCTCACCTGCTTCCCTTGGAAAGAAATACTCTTTTTCGAAGAGCCACCACCTGTGATTGAACGGTGAGCCTGGACACTGAAAAGAGGAAACGGCCAACATACTGTTCAGGACTACCAGGGAGTACTTGTCTCCGGTAGCATACGCAACCACGTTCAGGTTCGAACCACCGGAAGCCTGAATCCTCTTGCCCAAAGTACTCCCGTCGTCAGAGGTGAAGGCCCGGGCGTAGTGTGCCATGGAGTAGTATTCCTGGTTGTAAGTCACGCTACTCGTTGTCACTGTGGACATTCCACGACAGCCGTCTCCACAGCTGTTAGAACCAGGATAAGGAGATTGACCATTGTCAGCGGAGGCGAAAATCCACATCATTCCCTTTATTACATTCGAGTTAGTATGGTATAAGGTATACGAGTTGTGTGCTTTTCACGTACCGTAGCGGTATTGTTCGCGGACCATCTTAGATATGGATGAGGAAGGTTTGCAAGATTCATCTAGGAATACACTCACAGGTTGTTGACATACCATTGAACATCGGTCCACCAATCTGATCCCGGTGTACCGGCGCATTCGGTCTGATACATCGGCTGAGCATAGAATTAGCTATCAAAGAAGTCTGATGAAGGAAAGATATAACTTACAATGTTTGGAAATTGAGCGCTGAAGGCTGCCGTTTGTGATACCTGTCCACCATAGCAGTGGAAACTGAAGAAGCGGTGAGTAAGAGGTTGATGTAATGGACTAATTACTTACGCTACGCCCTCGAACGCGTTGGGTGCATCATCGACCTATGAACACACGTGACAGCGATATTAGTGAAGTTCGGAAGAGGGCATGGACGGCGCTTACCATGGGAATAGTGTATGAGCTTGTATCATCCCAATTGTGCTATAACGCGGAGAACGTGAGTTGAGAAAGGTCTATAACGAACGCTGTGAAAGGCTCATCACCTCATAACCGATAATCTTGACGTCGGTGAGACTGTTTTGGTCGAGCAAACTGCGCAAGGATTTGGCGATAGTAGCTTGAGTAGAGGCGTCAATAGTACAGCTGGGATAGGTAGGATTGCTGTTCTGTGGTTCGTTCTGAAGGTACGTTCAATGATTATGAATGGTTGCAAAAGTGCTTTTTTTACTCACTTGGATGGAAATCGCTTCCACAGGTAAGTTCTTGGCCTTGAATCCTTGCACTGCTTTCAAGAGATATGTAGGGTCTGATAGGTCATGTATCAATAATCGCCATGATTTTGATCGTGTCTGAAACTCACAAGGGCTGACCATACCACTCTTGAGAGATCCCCCATTCATGGTATTTCCATCCTTCATCCACGCTGGCTATGAAATGTTTCATGAGATGGGAGAGAGAGATTGTTGATGGACATGACGTACTGGAGACCAAGGAAGTATATGGATCTGGAATAATGCAAAATGCAAACGTAAACACGAAAAGTTTGGGAAAAGACAGTGCTGCAACTGACCTTTACGTTCGGATTGACGGCATAGATATCCGCTAACGTCGAGAAAAGATACGAAGGTGCGTTGGAGATATTGAAGGAGTTGAAGGAAGTATCGCCACTAATGTCGTCTAGGCTGTACGCTGCGATGCCAACGAGTCATTTTTGGTTATATGACCACAGGAAATGTCAGCTCTCACAGGAAGATGAAAAGTCGGAGGCGCCGATTGGAACGCGCAGATAGCTCAAAGCTGCGCCTGTACTGGTGAATGCATTCTTCAAGAATTTGTTATACATATCGGCATTAGCGTTCTATGGGTGAATGAATACAGATATTAAAACAGAATCGTATGCATAACACGGACCTTGAGATTGTGCATTGCCAGAGCGGCCGAATCCGCTTTGTGTAAATCAGACATTGCTCTTGTAAAGTAAAACAACACAGGCGACGCACTTATTGATCCACCGAACCCTACCATTTGCTGATACACTGTTGTCTCGTCGATGGCAATATCGGCCGCGCCACTTCCAGAGGTGAATGAAGGAGCGTCAGTGATAGCTTGAAGTAGCTGGCTCTGATCGGAAGAAGTAACCTGGAGAACAGCAACCTTGAGTCAACGACAAATAACGCGAAGAAATAAACTTTGACACGCACAATTCCACTGATGGTCTGTCCGTGAACGAGTTGCATCCAACTGAGAATAGATGCGATAGCGACAAAGAAGAAAGAGAACTGGTTGGAAAACATCATATTCGTTATTCTGTGTGCTGAATTGGTTGAAGGAGTGGGACGATATAGCAGACTGATAGAACGAGCGAGAGCGATGATGACTAGGGCCGGCCTAGAGACGATAAGTAGCACACTAGATTTACTTGAGGGTAGGGACTGGAAGGGGGAGAGGGCCTGCCCAACGGAAAGATAATACCAAACTTATATGTTCCTGCACCAGAGGGAAGGCACGCAAAGGGCCATCGGCAATCTTTTATACCTTTCTTTCAAAGGGAATTTCGTCCCGCGCTGATCGGGCGCTTCGAGTTTCAACTTCCGTGCCGAAGAATTCTGCCGGTGCTCAGCGCTCAGGGGCTAAAAGCAGTGTAGCACCCTTTCAATAAATATCTAAAAGCATCCAAATTGTCTTTGTGAAACTCGAAGACAATGGAGGTTCTGTGACCTTGAAAGGGTCCTAGCTGGTCTAAGAGGATCCAAACCAACAAGGCCGAGTTTCAAATAACGACAAGCAGTTTGAGCTAGGGAAGATAATATGGTTGACCGCAGCAAATATTACTCTCCAAGTCGCCGAAAACAGTCATCTTCACAAGATGCAGAAGTCCTGTGACGAGCGAATCATTAGGTTGCAATCATCCTGCAACGGCCCATAACCACGAATCGAGGCCAAAGTACGTACAACGCAACTTGAATGTAAGCAGCTCGCAGTCCACTGTGAGGGCTTGATAGAGGATCAGATAATCACTATGATTCGACTATGAATTGATGAGTATCTTGATAGCACAAGACTCGCATTCCAGCGGGACATGATACACACAGCTTCCGGAAGATAGGACATACTTGTACACAGTAACACACGCCAAGTTTTCTGCGTGAAGTTAGGCAGACCCCTTCTCTTTGACCTTTGATAACGTCAGGCGACTCGGCCATTGTGACTTGGAGAACAAGTTAGGAGTATCATAGCGGTAGCGCCAGCACTATGCACTATGCACTATGATCGCAGATTCCTTTGAAGAAACTGTCTAGAGACGAAGAGTGCTTTATTAGAGTTGCTGCATCACCTGCCATCACTTACGCGCCAGTTGGGCGCCAGAACGACACCTTTCTCTTTGTAATTGTACATACTATGGCTGAAGAAAAGTCTGTAACACTCAGATCCCTCAAAGCAGAGACATCGTCTATCTCGAATATGACCCTTCAAATCTTCCGCCTCCTTCCTCTGGTTATACGCGCTTTATTTGTGTCAGCGATACTCACACAAGACAGTTTCCTGTTCCAGATGGAGACGTTCTGCTGCACAGTGGAGACCTGACCAATACCGGGACCGTAGCAGAGTTTGAGAAGACTATGAATTGGATTTGCAGCCTGCCTCATAAATGGAAAATGTGCGTATCTACGCTATATTACTTATGTGGAGTATTGATCATGGCAGAATTATCGCAGGGAATCATGATCTACCTCTACATGCTGACTGGTACGAGATGAATCATAGTAGGTGGTCAAATTTGGGACACGCAAAGCCACAAGTATGTTGTAATACTTCCGGCTTGTATCAATCACTCATAAACTTGAACTCAGGATCGCGGACGTATTCTCGATTTACTCAAAGGAAAACATGCACAAGAATCTAACGTTGTCTACCTGCAAGATGAATTTTACACCTTTCAAGCAAGAGAAGGCGGCAGATCGTGGTCTGTGTACGGCTCTCCCGTGAGTTGACACCAGGCGGCACAATGCAATGCTCATTCTTGCGTTCGCCGTAGTGGTCACCGGAGTTCTGTAATTGGGCCTTCGGATACACTGCCACTGAAGGACCTTGTGAGTGCATCGTACATTGAAATGCACTCTTCGTCCGAATCATGGCTTTACAGCGTTAATCTCCAAGTTCCCGAAATCCGATATCCTGTGAGTTACCATTTCGTTTTGCTCTCCTAATCGCCACTATATCAATATGATCATCCGTCAGACTTACCCATGGTCCTCCTCGTAACATCCTCGACCGCACAAACCAAGGTGATTTGCCGGGCTGTCCGACTCTCACCAATACTCTTCCTCGTCTCCGTCCTCGTCTACATCTCTTCGGGCATATCCACGAAGCTCATGGTGCTCATATTCACCCTTGGTCCAAGGGTAACGTTGGAAACGTACAAAATGATCAGGTCGAATCGAACGAATCCAGCGAAGTCATCGAAGACAAAGACGGTGGTGTCACAGTGTTCGTCAATGCTGCCAATTGGCCTATGGGCAAACGCAGACGCGAATACCAGAATTTTGGCTTCGGTGGGCCAGGGTTCAGGCCCGTTGTCATTGATATGCTTGATTAGAGTTTCACTCTTGTAGGGTTTATTCTTGTAGGGCACTTGGAAAAAAAAAGTAAACTTCGTTATCGATCAATCAACTTACTGTGGTGGTTATCGTTATTGTAGATTAGAGTTATCCAATGTGGTGTAGTGGTTAACATTGCTGTCTTTCATTAAGGTTCTTCGCACAGCAGCCCGGGGTTCGATTCCCCGCATTGGAAAACTTGTAGGATAGTCTTTTTTCCCTCCTGCATCTATTTCAAGCCGGCTCTACCTTTTAAATTCGATACGTTTTTGAGCCTTGCAGCCATGTGCACTATAGTCTTATGATCAGAGAAAGTTTGAAGATATTCTCTTCTTCTACTTCCATCTGTTGTACCATGGAATTAGAATCCCCTTCAAGCTCAACATCGTTGGAAACTTTATTGGGCCTATCCGGTGACGCTGCTATACATCAATTGTACGTATTCAGTGCTGATTCAATTCAATTGCTATTCGTACACCGAATAAGTTGAAAGGTGAGTGCTGATTATACTCCTAATTCAGAACGATACAAGGCCTTTTCAGTCCAGCTACAGGTTCAACAAGAGGGAAATACATGGCCATGTGGACAGAGCGAAGAAAGACGTAACGTCTGAGCACGTCGTTAGAAGGTTCCTCGGATTGTTCTGCCATGTTGAAAAAGTATAAAAGTCAGCGCTATATCCTCCAAAATCTAAGCAACTCCGAGTCCTCGTTCTTCGCTAACTACTAGACGTACACAACGATGTCCCTGAAACTGATTCACCTTCTCCTCTCAGTCTACACCTCCAGTTTGCTATTCAGTGGGAGCTACTACGGTGTACACTCTGCTCCGGGGAGGTCTCAGCGTTCTTTGCATTCAACAGTGCCAGAAACTATACTAAGACCAAGGCAAGGCAATGGCGATAACGATGGCATTCATTTGGCGGTTTCGCCTCAGTGTGGGCCGTTGGATGGGAAGACGACGAATGTGAATGCGGGAATCGTGCCTTCGTCGATCAAGACTATCATTTCGTTTGGGGTGTGCAATCGTTCTACTTTTCGTGTTGATTCATCATATTCACTTGACATATTTTTTCTTTTCCCTTCTTGTATGCGTATAGGACTCGTACACGGATGGAGGCATTGACAATGGGTCTGCGCTTCTCCCGCCTGTTTTGATCCCTCCAAATGATGAAGCCGGTGGACGGTCCACGAACGGACCTGTCTGGATTGAAGGCGTATCCGGTGACTGGGGTGCTCATCTTATGGATTATGCGGTATGTTCCCCTGAGCTTTTCCTCCTTTCTTCGATATTCTTGGTTTAAAAAACCTTCTGTGGCGCCGAGACTGCATTCTAAATACAATTGTGACGGCTTACACCTCGAGATATAGATCTTCTGATTTTTCTTTGTTATGTGACCTTTGTCCACTTGAGCTTTTCTATTTTTGACTGAGCTCCGTTTCAACCTTTTTTCCGGAATCTTACAGCAATGGGGTGCATGCACGAATCTATCTCTGTGGCCGAGTAATCCTAGAAAAGTCGATTTCATCGATCAAAGTGAGTATTAGCGTGTCTTTCCGTTGATGGTTGTGCCATGACCGCCATTAGTGGCGACTTTCCTCAGTCAGTCAAACCAACTGGATCCAGACTCGACACTTTATAGCATATTCTTTGGGATCAAGTAAGTTTGTTCACCCTAGCACAGTTTCTCGCCTCAAGCTATCTACATCTTTGCCCAGTGATTACATCGCATCCCTCAGTGAGACTTTGTCTTTTGCATTCCTTGCCATTCATCCTAACCTGACGATGTACCATGCTTACAGTCGACGGCGATCACATGCCTGAGGCCGCGGAAACTATCCTGAACGAGATCCAAACCCTGTCCAGCCCGCCTACAAATGGCAAGTCCTTCCTTGTCGTCGACGTTTATGGACGGGGAAACACTTCCGCGTGGGGTGAAGCGTACAAACAGCAAGTGTTTGATGGTCTGAAGGCACTTCATGAGGGGTCTGCGAACCTCAATGTGGCTTATGTCGACATGGCAGCGATTTGGGATGGGGTGCTGGGACCCAATCCAGGGTGAGTTTCGAGTTTGGAAGTTTGTGTAGCTAGCTAGTGTCGAGCTTTTTTTTGATTCCAATGATCAGATATCAGGCCTTTGGATATACAAGCACCGCAGCATGTACGGTCTGCACGGAAGACTGTAACCAATACGGCTGGTGTATGGATCCGGAGCATTACTTCTACTGGATAGATGGGTCAGCGCACTATTTTTTTTCGACTCGTTCAGCCTTGATTGATGAAATCCATAGACACCCATCAAAGGAAACTCATCGAATTATGGCCGATTGGGTTGAAGAAGTGCTGCAGAATTGCAAAGTATGATTGGACTTGTTAAATACTTAGTCCAATAATTTTTTTTTTTTTATTTTAATATCATTTTATTGCGCTAGAAGGAGTACCTTATGATGCGCATAAACTAATTATCAGGTCCCTGACCTGCTCAACGGCCCTCGGAATAGCGAAAGCCCTACAGACGGATCTACATCCCCCTGCAGTCCGATCCGTCCCAGGATCGTTTTTGACGCCCATTCCCTAGTCCAATAATATGAATTGCGTGAGCTAAGAAAAGCTCGAAATTTCGTCATCATGCAGATTCATTCTTCGCAACTTGACCAATCTGTTCACCCAGACAAAAAAGAGTAGTACTAGTGGAAGCTGACCACGCCAGCTAACTATACAACAAAAAGGGAAGCGGGATCTCAGTACCTGCTGTAAATCATCGTATGCATTCCACTACCACTCCGGCATTCCGTCGCAGTTCCGCTTGTCCCATTATGTAGACTATTCCAAGTCAAAGAGCTCGGATTTACTCACGTTCAACCTTTTCGTCAGAACTATCATCTTACCACTCTCCAAGCTTTTCCAACCTCTGCAGTTAATCCAGACATGCGTGCATATTACTTTGACAATCAACCTGGGGACCAAAGATTACTTCACGACTCGTCCCGGTCTGTTGACGCCGAAACTCTGAACGGTCTCAGGGTTGAATCGTGGAATATCCCCCTCACGGAAGGGTATGAAGAGAAGTTGAACGTCATCTCGAAGGAAAGGGCATACAAGAACAGAGATGTTATCACTATATCAAAAGAAGGCTTGGGGGACGTGAGTTGACTGTTATTTTTGTGGGCAACTTTGTATAAATGAGGATAATCAATCCTTTTGACTACGAGATAGCAATACGAAGAGAAAATCAAGGCCTTTTACAAAGAGTAAGCTGATTGTTCGCGTCCGATGACTGAGGAGAGATTTGTGATCTATTCAGACATATCCATGAGGATGAGGAGATTCGTTACGTTCTATCAGGAAGTGGTTTCTTTGATATTCGCCGTACGTGTAGTTTCTACCTGGCTGCATTTGCTCCCGCTCAAGCATCTATGCATACGTTTACGCCGTGACATGTGCATACTACTTCGACTTATCCTACCAGAGGCTTCTACCGATTCATGGATCCGTCTAGCTGTGTCTGCCGGTGACTTACTAGTGATCCCTGCTGGAATCTACCATCGATTTACTGTCGATGAGGGAGATCTGGTGCAAGCTGTTCGGTTGTTCAAGGTACTCATTTTGGTTTGATTGCTCTGACAATTAGCTCGAACTAACTAAAACCTGGTCAGGACGAGCCAAAGTGGTCAGCTATCTATCGCGGAGCTGAAAGTGATGCGAACCCTCATCGAATTGACTATCTCAAGTCAATTGCGGTAGCTGGATGACCTCGTAATTTAGGTGATCGAAATTATCCTCAATATTAAGGGAAGGAGAGACTATCAAAGAGGACGGTGTTTTCCGTCGACTTCAATTTTGTACTGCCGCCGATGACCATTTCCCATCCCAGCCCAATGTGCATGGGTTGTATATAGATGCCAAGGAAATGACGAGATCAACGAGTCGTCGATGTTCCTTCAACACAGCGAGAAGGGCTCATATTAGTTCATACATGATTGAGAAACCAGAGTCATACAATCTCCATTCAGCCAGGTGGTCTGGTCCGTATCGCTTACTGCTTGAAACACAGCTAAAGTATTGCCTGTTGCATAGTTGTCTGCAGGTCTCAAAATTTCTCAGTTATTTATTCGTATTTACATGGCTGTGAGGGGGTGAAATGAATGGGAGCCCCAGCACATCAGAGAAAGGAACAGCATGTGTAGAAATCAGTTTCTGTTATCATCCTCATTCTCGTTGTTGTGATCTTGCAGCGTCATCAGGTCGTTCAAACTGGGACGGGATATATCAACACATGACTTATCTTGAAAAGGCGACGAGCTCACCAATGCACGAATGGTCGAGCTACGGCTACAGCTTCACCCAACCTTCTCTTGAAGTCAGGAGCAAGTACTTCGGAATCTTTGAATCTACATTGATACCCTATCAGCTGTTGAGAATCAAAAAGACGAGGTATCCTCACCGATGAAGAACGGCGAAAGTACGACATTTAAGAAGATCAATATCCCTATGTTCGACATGATCTTCAGTATGAGAGCAGAAAAGTTGTATTTCCTTACCTGTGATCCTTATCGAACCCCTTTGGCGCCACTTTTAACTCATCTTCAGCACCGAAGATGTTCCTACGGCTTCCGTCTTTCGTCGGCGTTGGTTCACCGAAAAGCGCAACGAACTCAGGATCAGAGATAACCTGTCTGAGTCTATCGGAGGAACGAGCAATGTTGGAACTAAGGGATATCGTTAGGAACAAAGTCGTTTGAGCGAATCAGTCTACTCACCGGATAGTGGCTAACTCATTCTTGCCTGGACACCACGTACCTGCGGCAAGAAGACTCTCGCTACCAGGTCTAACTGGTGACGGAATGTCAGTACGATCTAAAACAGAAATAGCGAGGAATTCAAGCTCACTAGAACTGGAAAGTGCATGAACAATGTATGAATCAGAATGCTAGAGCAATGGGTGAACGTATGCTCACACGTGGTCTAATCCGAAGTTCAATAATGAGGAGAAGATTGAGGTTGTGTAAGACTCACAGCATGCAAAAATGCCTTTCCTGCCACTTCTGGAAAAGCTCGCGGACAAGTTCTTCTTGTAAGGAGTTTTGTCATTACTGAACCGAATCTAGAGGTCATACCATCATTGAGTTGATAGTCTAACAGAAAGTGCAGCAGTTGTCACTGACATCTCTGTATATGCGATGGATCACGTCTTTA